CACACACACACATACACACACACACACCTAGCTCTCATCCCCCATAGCAGGTAACAAGAGAGTTTTGCTTTCTGCTTCTAGAGGAATCTAGAGGGACGGGAGTGGAGAGGGTGACAGCACGGCAAACTCAACATCTAAATGCCTCTGAAATCACTTTCAGACGTACTTGATGTCACTTGCGGGAGCAAATCGCACACAGCTCGAGAGCTTCAAATCAACCCCAACCACAAGTGTTGATGGGTAGTTTGAACTCGCGGGGCTAGTATGACCCCTGTGCGATAGTCCAAACATCTCCTCTTACCAAGCAAGCAGGGCCCACCACCCTGGCAGCACCCGACTCTCTGCCACTTTGAGTTGGCAAAGAAGGGCTTGGGACGGGCTATGGATGACGAGTGGACAGCAGGAAGAAAAAAACATAAAGTAAATACATGAAGAAAGAAGCAAATAATAAAACAGAATTAGATTAATGGAAGCAATGGGTGGAATTACTCAACTACACACCTACGCTGTTATTGCCTCACTTTTAATTTAAGAGTCACAGCTGAATTCTGTTTTAACTTATCAGGATCTGGTGATCGGCCATGTGTGGTAAGAAAATACCCAAATGTTGTCCAACCTAAGCTAGTGACACCATAGGAAGACCAGACCATCTCATTTTGGTTCCCCCGATGCGGTTTACGTGACCGTTTTGGGGATGCAGCTGACGATGGCTCCAAAGGATGCTGCCACTGAATTGAAACACAGCTACAGTCTTTGAGTTATGCAGGAGAGATGCATTATACGGCAATTTTGACCCACGATCAAAAGATTAAAAAACAGGATATCTTGTCTTCTACTGTTTTTACTGAGACCGTCCTGAATGAGTTAAACAGCTCCGTGTTCATGGAAACATTTAAAACTCCACACTTATAAGATCATTAAAGAATCAGTGTGTTAGATCATAGTCTTAATTCAGCCTTGTTCAATTATCTGAAGGAAGATGGAACATATCTGCGTGGGATGTTTATAATTAACAGTGACTTGCACATGTGCATGCAAGCTGAAAGTGAAGACTTGGGAATCAGGAGTCCAAAATGAAAAAAGAACTATCTATTGCATTATTTCTCATTTTTCAGGGAAGTTTAATCAAGTGCCAGACACTCTCCTGATCTCTGTTTTTTTTCTGTCTCAGCACCTGTTTCCTTCTCCATTGTTTTGGACTGGTAGCCAGTCTCTCTCCTCCCTTCCTTCTGACATCGTTTTTCAAGAGCAGAGTGACAATTCACATCTCTCCATCTTGTCTTGCCCTCTTTTTTCCCCGTGATCCTCCTTCTGGTGCTTCAAAAACAGACACCAAAATGAAATATCCAATATTTTACTACAGGGAACCACTTTTCAATAAATGTAACACCTTTAATCCGTTTTTCAAGAAAAAGAGTCGATAAATCTGCCTCTTCCAGTCGCAGCAGTTCAGAGCCTGGCTACCAATTGAGATGGAGAATCTGTGAGTACGGCACATAATGTATCTTCAGCATACATGTATGTCTGGCTGGGTCAGTAGTGCTGCTTGAATTGAAGGGGCCAATATACAGAGATAATGGGGGTATTTACCCTTTTGAATATTAATGTCACCCATTACTGTGCGTGTCGAGTGGTCGAGCAGTCCATCTTGATTCCAGCGGTGCAAAGAGAGTGGAGCCTAGGTCAAAATACCAGCATATGTGCACAGCAATCTGTAGCAGCATTTTAAAGATTCATGGGAGACATTAGCATTTTACTGTAGGGGCCTCTTTGAGGGAGACCATTAATGAAATGGGTGGACTCACAGAATGACACTTAATGAGGAGGTACAGAGGGAGAGGGAGAGTTTCAGAGAGGTGCCGAATAGACCCTTCATTTTACATTTATGTGTCCCATTCATCAACATGGAAGAGGCAGGGTTTAAAACCGCTAATGCAACCAGGTGGCAATTGAGACGCTTTGGCTTCACTTCTGGGAAGCTGTCATGTTGTTTATCTTTATGTATGGTCTGTGGGAGAGAAAAGAGACCTCCTGACAAGCCATCAACTCACATGTCTCTTTCCTAACCTTCCTATGACACACACACACACGCACACCAATAATCTGTACATGAGCGGCCCCGCAGAGCGTTCATCCTCTTTATCTCTTTTCCCTCCGTGGGGCAAGAGTCATTTTGTTGCTATCATTACCACTTCCCAGAGGGCGATATTGACACAAATGCTATTTTCTTTCTTCGCGAGGCACAGTGTAAATGACATGAGAACCCTTAGATGGAGTAAAGAGGGACTGGGCTCACAGGCAGTAACCTATTGTTCATCTAGAGTGTTTACTGAGACACACAGTGGTGGTTTTCCCTTGTCACACTGTAGATGCTCTAATAGACATTAAAAATATACATAATATATATTAGCAAAAGCTGGTCTTAGACGACAGGATGTAAGGGCTGATTTAACCCTGAAAATCAGAAAAAACATCAGGTGTGGAACATTGGTCAGTATGGACATTCAATCCAGATTATCTAATGGTGTGAGGGCTAAGAGTTATTCCTAAAACCTCCTGAAGACAGTTTGATATTTAGGATTGGAAATACGTCATTATTGAACCACAACAACCAATGAGAGACAGAAAGACCAGAGCAGCTGATGGTGCTGCTGTAAACATTCTGAGGCCTATGTCATGTAGTGTGCTACTGTTGACAGATATTATGATGGTTTAAGACTTATTTAACTTTTTTTTTAACATTAGAGCAAGTTGTCGCTAAAGTTCCATTTTGTGTTCAACTGCTTCCCCATGAGGTCACATGAGCGACGTGAAGCAGTGCAAGTGGAGCAATAATCTTAATATCCTGGTTTGTGTGTAAAATATATGAATTACTGTACCATGTCATTGCGTCCAAAGAAGGTGTACACGGCGTACAGGTAGTAGTCGAAGAGCTGTGACACACAGTGGATGACGTCGAAGGCGATCGGCTTCAGAATGTTCATCATCTGCATGTACTTCCCTGCACAGAGAGGATGAAAACACATATCTAACGGTTCCTGATTGGATCACCAGAGTGTGACATATACTGTGGGTTTTTTATCAGTATCAGTTGACCATGAAAGAAGTGGTTCTGTTCTAAAGTAAATCTTGTGGGAGATTAAAAGAGTTAAAGTAAAACTACTGTCGTTAATCACAGCGGCACAACGTCCAGTGGGAGGAACTTTAGTGGGAGTATAGTACATTTGCATACACTTGAGAGCAAGGATTTAATTCAACGTGAAGGTAATAAAAGCAAGAAGTACGGAGGAAAGGGGTGTTACAAGGTTACCATTGACTCAGAACTGATGAATGGAGGAGAAAAGAGAAGAAATAAACTCAGTCTAGCTGGCTTTGCCACTGAGACAGCATTATTTCTCTAACAGCCTCATTTTTCATGCCATTTCTCTTGAAATTCTGCACCGAGAACTAAGGAGGCAATCGAAGAAATCTCCATCAAAAAGCGGCACAGGCCGAATTAGAAATGTTTGCTTGAAATCAAACTTTGTTTTTTTTCTAACTTTATGTTTTTCACAAAAATCTACATAAAGTATACATAACCCCAATATTGAATATCTAGGCCAAATATATGAATATCATTTGTAATGTTACAAATCTGCCTCAGCCTCATCAAATCAATTTCTGTATTAAAAGTTTTATTCAACCACAGGACCACACAGGATAGATAACTGCCGACTCTTATTCTGTTTCACACATGGAAAAGAAAATCTCATCAAGAGGGTCATACGCCGAAGAGCAGGCTTTTCCAAGGGTGAGACCTGATGTCTTAACGGCCGCGTCACAAAGACGTGCAAGCACCTGGAAAGGTCAGAGCTCAGGGCGAAGGCTAACAGTTATCACTGTGGCTCGGTCACACCTGAGCATGGCAAGCTCTTCGCTTAATTGGTGGATAATGGACAGGCCAGCGATGACACCAGCTGCAGCTGGGACTGGTCTGAGCTCAAGGAGACGTAAGCGTGTGTGTGTGTGTGTGTGTGTGTGTGTGTGTGTGTGTGTGTGAGTGTGTGAGACTCACCAACGAGCCGGATGACGTTGAGGGTGGTGTTGGTGAGGATTGGTGCATTGGTCTTATTAAGGTTGTAGTCCGACTTCTTCTTGCTTCTTATGGTCTCCCGGGACACGCTGATGTGTTCAGGATGTTGTTGGGTTGAAAGAGAAAGTAGAGCAGAACCATGAGAATAGAAAAGACTCAATAATACATGTTAACATCACTAATCCTCTGACATCATCAGACGGGTTCAAAACCCTTAGTGGGGTCAAACCCTTGTAATTGATCAATCAGAACCCATTACACAAAGCAGAGGGAACAGAAGGACCCCCGCCAGTCAAAGTCTGTGAACTGGTGATCCTGGAGCACCGGACCCCTGACACTGACCATTGAGCCCTATTAGCCTGCAATCATTACACAGGGCCGAGTAATGTCTGGATGTGCTCGTTCCACCCATTCAATAATTAACCATTCGTGATTCATGATGATAAAAATAGGAAAATTGGCATTTTGGTGACTTAAGGCTAATGTCAGGTTAATACACAGGGGGAAAGGAAATGTGAGGAGAGTTAAAATATGATGCAGGTCCGAGCTGTGAAATAAAATGAAAAGCTCATTAGAACAACGCCTCTGTAATGAGGAGCTACTGAATAAGTAATAGTAATGTGTTTCTTGTTTCCTGGTGTAAAACTGGATCTCAGCTCTCAGATATTCATTACTACGTGCACACTCATGGGTTCATACCGATTCCTAAATATCCACCACATACATTTACATGCACATACAAAAATGATGTGTGTCCACATGATCGTGGATTGTGTTTACAACTGTGTTGATGTACAATGTTTCTACCTCCATATATTACTATTATTACCTCTGTCATTACAATTGCAATCACTGCTCTGCCCTCAATGCTCCCCCTTCTCTCCCTTTATCTCTGTCAGACATTTTCTTTTTGACCAAATGCTTTTAACATTGCTGTTAGCACACAACAAGTAAGAAAAAAGTGAGAGCTGCAGCAAAAGGCTGCTAACAGCCTGACACACACGTTTAAATATTTTAAAATTCACACAAAACTTCATGTGTATGGTTATTCAGGATGCACACCACATTTGATTTAGAGGCAGACCTAATAATTACAGCTATAATGTGTTATTGTCTTAATTAATGGACTGTGAAAATGTTATGTTGATAACAAATTAGACAAAATATATAAATGTCCTCGATTGCATTCAATTTTCTCTTTCAAATGAAAATGAATTCTTTTAAATGAGGTACATAGGAGCACACGGCTGCCTCTGCAGTTATTAAAAAGGGACTAATCATTCGATGGCCACCAATCACATCGGCTGAGGGGGCAAGAAAGAGAATTTATCATGGGTAGACAAAAAGCTTCATACAAGCTCTCAGCTTATTTAGCAGGGTTATGCAGAGGTAGGCTAAATTTATCACTGCTAAAGGCACAGAAAACCGGCTGATGCATGACTCAACATCCTTTTAAAAGCTCCTTAAAAAGATTCAAGGGTCAATCGTTTTATATTGTGCCTGTGAATAAAGTGAAACGTCGACTTTCTTTCATGAATCTGAAGGGGAGCAGAGTTGATGGACATCTGAATGTACCGTGTAACTTCACTTGTCAACGTCTGTGAGTCTTCAGAGTGGTGTGGTGTAAAATACCATGACTTGGACCTGACCTCTTAAGAGGGGCGTCTCCCGTCTGCTCGTCCACGTAGTCCTGCTTGAGCTCCTCTGCGACATCGCTGTCGCTGTCGTAATCCTGATAAACGCTCTTCTCCAGCTCGTCTGACTCATACTTGTGAAATGGGGGAAATAGAGAGATCAGACCCGGGTCATGGAAAAATGGTCAAATTGCCATAGCTGAAGAAGAAATGCAGTTCAGATGAAGTGTGAAAAAAAAGAAAAAAAAGAAGAGAATCCGATGCCCTGGGGAAATTGTCTCAGATAACATACTTGAATGAAAGATCCATGAAGATTATAAAATCAAACAAAATAAAAGATGGCTACTCAGACAGCAAAAGGGTGTAACACGTTAATCTTTTAGTCCTGATGGCTGCACAACCATAAAACTATTTGGCTTTCGGGGGGAAAAAGCAGAAAATTCATTCACCTCTCAGGAGAGTTCAGGTAAAGCCCTGGAATAAGATTTTTCTTTGTCCTTAACTGCAGGTTCAGGCAACACAACAGTCATATAGAAAGGATTACAAGCTTAAGAGTAAAGCTCAGCAAAGGCTGCAGTAAGCCTCATATGTTAGACACAGCAATATTGCTTTTGATGTTGAGCCTAAGAAGAAAATATATCCATGTAAAAAAAAGAGTCAGGGTGGTGTGTACCTGTGTGAAGAACAGGGCCACTGACTTACTTCTGTAATCCTAATACAATATGATATTTATTGATTCTTCTGTTTAACAACACATTGGGAGCCACTGTTTTTTTTTTTTACACATGATGTGTTTTCACATTCGTCTGGCTCATAGAAATGTGCTTTCTCTTGTTTTTCCATTTACTTGTTTACGTTTTTTCACCCCGTGTTTGTTTGGAAGCAAAAACTACAGGACAGATTTCCACCAAACCTGGTGGATCTCTGCCGTATGTGTCAAGGAAGAACCCATTACATTTTGGTAGGGTCGGTACTGGGAACATTGTGAGATAGGATGTATTTTGTATCTTGTGAATTTATCAAGAGACAATGCAGGGATCTTTATGAAAAGAATCAGATGTAGAGTGATAATATCCATGAACATGTGAAATTTGCTGTGGATCCAGATATTGATTCAGACACCTTGCACACTTAATGTTGCATCTGTGATTTTGCCATCTGGAAAAGCTGCTTCCAACATCTTCAGTTGATGCGAACACCAAGCACCAGCTGCCACATCTCTCGACAACTTTAGCCTGTGATGCCTGACATCTGCTGTTGGACGATAACGTATCATCTAACTCATTTTGAAGACCTTCCACCTGGCCAATCAGAGCACACTGTGGGGTCAGGAGGCGGGTCTTTAAGAGACAGGTGTTAAAGCCAAGTGTTTGACAGAGGCTGAAAAGAGGAGCTCAACAATGGACTGAGAGGAAAGTGTATTCTGTGAAAATGAGAGCATGTGACCTGAACATGAGCATAACATGGAAATGTTCTGTATATACTTAGCTCGTTTCTATTCTCGATGACCACTCGAAACACTTTTCAGTACAAGTTTTGCCATTCACCCGTGACACAGCGAAAGGGGAGACTGGGATTGAACCCCTGATCCTCTGATTAGTGGATGACCCACTCTACCTCCTGAGCCACAGCTGTCCCTATGTCTCCATTAAATGGGTGAACAAGTAAGAAGCCAGCGCTCCCTCTCCAAGTGGAGCTGGCCTGCTCTTCTGGTTTGAAGATGCACGAAGCGTACTGATAGATGTACGGCAAAACAATTTCTCTTCTCTCTCAATTATGTATGGTGCCAAAGTGGCTCGGCTCGGCGCTTTACCGGACAACATAGATTGCATGCAAAACTGAAAGGCACCGCACTAAGCAGCGAAGCACTTCTGTCTCTCTCGGAAGATGAAGTGCTGCCTATTTTAAATTTAACACAAAGCACTGCGAGAAAATGTGTTTCTAATAAATAAAAGGTTTCCAGTATTGACGGCTGGGTGATAACTGCTACACTAAAATAGAGGGACCAAGGAATATTGCTTTACCGGGAGAAAATTATTGAATGCTGAATGCCGAAAAAAAAAAAAATGAAATCATAGAAATATGACTTCTATATTATTACATTCAGCTCTTCTCTCTGGGCTATCATTGGTCCTGCAGTGCAGATGCTCACAGATTGATTTTGTATTTAACTGCTTATATAATCTGTCAGGCGATGCATCAAAGTGCCATAATAATCATGGCGGGTTCTGCACTGCTTGCCCTACACCGTTAATAAGAGGCTGTCGTGGCCTGGCTGATGACAGCTCCAGGTCTGTGGTAAACCACTTAATGACCCACAGTCATTACGCCCCCAGATAATCTAAGTGTCTCAAAGTGTTTTATGAACTTGTCTTTGTTAACTTGTTTGGTGTTTTACCTCAACATGTTGCCTTGTATGTTAGACGTGGTTGTGAGGGTTGACAGTATCTGATCAGCAAATATGATGTGGAGTCAGTCAAAATAATTTACAGTGTATGATGGGTGTGAACCAAGAAAACTACCACAAGAAAGTCTATTAGGCAAGCACCAACTTACTCCGTTCGATGCCAGCACATCCTCCGTCTCCTCCTCTTTTTGCTCCATGTGCATCTCAAACGGGTTCCCCTCCTGGAGGTACTGCTGGAAGAGTGACAGCTCATCCTGGGCCGGTGTGGTCGAGGACACGGCCTGTCTGCTCGGGGAGACGGACGGAGAGCGACACTGGCCCATGAACTTAAACTCCTGGAGCGGAGAAGATGGGACAGAGAGACACTTTGAAGGACAACAAATGTAGGCGTGCATTTGGTGAAGATGAGACAGACATGACAGGAAATAGAGAAAAGAGGTTTTGTATTTAATTGAAAATAATGTATAATGTTTACGCTTACGCTTTATTTTAAAAAATGCCTGTTTTATTAAACATAGTATCTCACAAAAACTTTGTAATATTATAATATAAGTAAAATAGAACGGCACTAAGTAGAGCGTATAAATCAACAGCCTAACAGGCCCAACAGGCCCCTAATGAAACCACATTTAACTTCACTGGATTCATATTATTTGGATCTGCACCAAATTTCATACAATCATTAATCAGTCCCCTAAATTTGCCTGATTCTTTTTTCAAGATCCGTGAAGTCAAGGAATATGTTGAAAAGCGTCCAATCTCACAATGTTCAATAAAGTCAAAAACAATGTATGAACAACAAAATCGAATCAGTTCATCTGTGAAAAGTGAAACGTTTCTGCCAAATTTGACAACATTCCCTAACGATGTCGGGGAGATGTTGTGGTCAAGACTCAAACACATATTTGCGGTCATGGTAACCTTTGACTTCTGAATAACACATTTTAGTCAGTTCAACATCCGAGTTTAAATTAAAGTTTGAATCTCAGAAAACTCCCTCAACATCTTCCTTTTCCTTCCCCATAAGAATGGGATGGATGATGGATGTACAACCCGAAAACGTAATGCCTCCAGCTATGCCTGTTGTTTGCATGGAGACGTACGAATATTACATATAAGTATTACACTCACAACCAAAGCCAGTGTCCTGAGGGATCGTCTGTAACAGCAAATTTAAATAATCTTGGAACAACGAAGCATTACATTGCCTGTTTACCATAAAGTGAAGCAGACAAACAACATTTTACGCCACTTATTCTGAAGATTCTTTTGCGTGTGTGCGTTTGTTGCACAGTGTACCTGAGCGAGATGCATGAAAATGAGAAAACAGACTCTTGACTCTAACTCCATTTGTCTTTCTGACATTTCTTTACCTTCTTCTATGTGAAGCGAGCCAAACATGTTGATCCTTCCTTTAAATAGCTTACAGAAGTTATCTGTTATAAACGTTGTGTACATGAAACATTTTGGTTGATATTTGCATCTGATCTACTCTGCTGTTCAAGTTATTATCTTTAAACTATAGCTCATGACTGTGGAGGGAAAACCCCTCTAACACAAACCGAATAGGAATAACGTGCAGTAAAAAAAACCCTCTTCTTTCTTTCTTGCTGCCTCACTGATGTGATTCTTACTCACATGGAGCTGAGCGATGTTGAAGTTAGACTTGACAGGACAAAGTTCCCACGTCTCATTCTCCAGAAACATCCTCAGTTCTTCCAGTCGTGCCCTGAGGAGGCAGAAGAAGGTCGAGAGGAGGAAGAGGAAAAGGAAGAAATGGAAAGAGGAGGAGAAAACGTCAACATCTGGCCATTGATGACCTCATGCCATTTTGTACATTTATCCAGCTCCTATTCTGAGAGTTCAGATTGAATTTGCTGACATAAACACAACCTGCAAAGGTCCCTGATACACACGGAAAAGAATGACGAATGTGGTTGTGTGTGTGTGCATGTTTACATTTGTTTGTGTGGTGTGTGTTAGTGCATTTGTGTGTGTACATATGTGTTTCTGGATTTGTTTATATGTGTGTGCATGCACGTGGGTATGTATGTATGTGCATTTGTTTGTTTGTGTATGTTTGTATGTGTCTATATTTGTTTTTGTGGCGAGTGTATTTGTGCGTTTGTTTGTGTGTGTGTGTGTGCGTGTATGTGCATGCGTCACATGTTTCCATGTTAACTGTGATCACAGCTTGAGACAGAGTCCCTGGTGTCCTCCTGCTCGGGTCAGTATCAGGTCTTTGTGTGTGAAATGTCAGAGCAGTGTTGACTTCAAACACCACAGCTCCCACTGTCCCTCTTCTTATAGCAGTTTGAAGTACGTGATGTAAAAAAATATGGAAGAGGCGAGAGACTGAAAACCTGTGGTTGATTTTAACATACATTTAGCATACAAAATGTTTATTTCACTAATCCTGTGTGGCTGCATTTCCCCACATCTATATTCCTCCAATATAATGCTTTGATAGTTCCAGGACAACAAATCAAAACATCACTAACTAAAAGAGAAAATGAAAATCACAAGTTGGAAAGCTGTTTGATATTAATCAATGCTGAGCCCTGACAAGCGCTGACATCCTGTCCTTTGCACCCGCAGTCCAACAGCACAACCACCCTGATGACTGAGTGTGTTTCTGCAGGCGTCACTCAGTCAAAGGTCAGTGATGTGTTTCTCTGAGGATGACTACCTGCTGGAAAATGAATCACAGCTATTGCAAACAACTGAACACACTGGTTTGTATGACATTCAGACGTCCTGTAGTCATCACCTGCATGGTCTGCGTCTACCTATACTAGACATAGATTGGTTTGTAGACAGGCATCTATCTGACATTGGCGTGTCTGAATTTGGCAGGTGGTAGTCTTGTTTACTTGAATGGAGAAAATTAATGAAGGGGATCATTTCATCTATTTTGTTGCCACTGTAATATCATTATGGTGTTAATACCAGCATCACTAACTTAAATTGTCTGAAGCAAAGATCTGGGCAACTCTGTTTCTGGGTGGACCAATGAGGCTTCCACTTTCTTTTTTTCTTCTATTGTTTAGTGAAGTCTCAACTTCGCAAACCGCAAACCGTGGCCATGGTTTACTTTGATCCAGACCTAGACCGCCTCTTTTAGTCGGTCCGGATCATGGTCCGAGGCACCTCACACACCTTTTATTTTGGCTCGGACAAAACTGAAAAGTGTTTCTTGGGGGAAAAAATTTTTTTTTCTCTCTTTGTTAATTCATCATGCTGGGTTAGAAGCTCCAGACCAAACAAAGTAGGCGTGAAAGTGCCCTTACTCTATTTTTTCAGTTTCCTACTGAGATCACCTCCAGCCTTTGCCCCCGTGTTGCGCTCCTTTGCCATTTTCTATACAAAGGATGAAGAATATAATCTCTCTGATATTTAGTCAGCCTATCAATGATTCTTGACAGGTAATCACAATCACTGATCAATGCAAATCACCTCTGATGATGTGGCGCTGTCTCGTGTGACATCATACATATTCATGTGGCTGGCGAGTGGGGGGTATGTAATCAAGATGTAAATGTGATTTCAGCTCGGTGAGTGTTATCATGTAATTACACATCTATTCCGAGGAGGGTTACGCTCGGCGTGGAGCCCGTTGGTGGTAGCCAATGGTTGCGATTGTGTCTAAAAGTTTCTGTCAATGACAACCTGCTGTTCAAAAAGCTGCTCCACTTACAATCTCACTAGTTTCTTTCGGTATTACCAGGGCGGCTGCGCATGTCACATCCACTCTGTGTCTAACTGTACACACATAATCAATCCCATCAGCTCAGAGGATGAACAGAGACGACTTCTTATTGTCACATGATCAAGTAGATGCGATGGAAACTCCTCGTACCTGTGATAGTTTTTAAAGTAGTTGACGCTCTGGCGTTTGATTGACTCCTGCAGGACCTCGGACTTGCTGCCGCAGAACTCCTCACCCACCTGCATCAACCTGAAAGAGAGAGTGGAAGAGAATAAATGGTGATGGAGAGAGAACAAGAACAAACTAGATCACTATCACGAGGGCAGTGATCTGTCGGGCATGTACTAGGAAACAACACATTGTGGGTAGCAGGGCAGGCAACATTAGCAACTGGGTTTGCTAATGGCTACCAACATAATAACCTCAGTTTGTTTTAACACGTAAGCAAAACAAAAGAATGAAAAGGTTTTACTGGGCCAGGGAATGTGTGTGGACGTTGGTATCATACGAGTGGGTGAATGAGGACTGAGCACATGAGCACTGCGAGAAACAAGTAAAAAAGAGAGAGACTGTATGTACTTGCTGATGACGTCCAGTACCACTATGAAATCATCATATTTGAAGTTAGACATGTCCGTTCCCAGGATGTAGGCCTTCACTTTCAACTGGACATCCTGAGGAGAGAGATGAGAGGGACATGGTTGATTTGGGGATGGTTGATAAAGACAATAAGAAATGAGAAGACTTTGAAAGGAGAGACAGAGGGAGAAAGAGGGAGGCAGACTCTTCTCTACAAACCTGCCAGATCCGTGTTAGACCGTGCTCCAGTTTCTTCTTCACGTAGCTGCGGTCCACAACTAACTCATCAGACTTTGCTGCTGCTGCTGCTGCATCATCTAGAAATATTCAAACAAGACTGATTAGGAGACTTATTCTTCTTATATTTA